CCAAATATAGGGTTTCTTGGATCAGTTTTTAAAATTATTTTATACAATCTCATTATCTATATTTAACAAAAATTTACTTAAATATTGATTTAGGTAATACATGTAATGATATAATGATAATTTTTTAAATATATTATTAAATAAATAAATACATATAATATTATTAATCATAATTAAGTTAAAAAAGATAATTACACTTGGCCCGTTAGATTAAGCAGCTCTTATCACCTTATTAAAGTGCAGTCTCCCTCCTCCTCCTCCTCGTTAGATTAAGCAGCTCTTATCACCTTATTAAATTGCACTCCTCCTCCTCCTCCTCCTCCTCCCTTGGGTTTGGGTTTAAGTCCCAATGGTATCTTGTTCAAAAAAATAAAAATAAAAAAGATAATTATTAGATGATATATACAATTATTTGAAAAAATTATATAAAAAATTTATGTTCAAATCATTTTCCCATTTAATGGTACTGTAAACATAGACAATAACAAGTTAACAACACCTAGCGAACATGGGCGGTGGGCTGATAGCCCTGTCTTTAATAGGTGTGTCCCATCATATTATATTTGGTATACTTGAATTGTGTGGGAAATTTCCTCTGATGTACCCATGAAAGCACTCTTTTGTAACCCAGAAAAAGGATAGACACTTACATGGACACCATTAATATCCCTTAAACATGATTAAATTTTTTTTATAAAGTATTATTTAGTAAATTTTTTTTTAACATTTTAATTATGAGATCAGTTCGAACTGTTATCCTTAAAAAAAAAGATATAAATCTTATAACAGTAATTAGAGCCACTTAACTCACAAAAGTCTACTTACAAAACTTCAAAATCACAAACTCCCATATTCAAATTCTTGAGTCTTTAAAAGTTGATTTCACCTTTTATAATAATAATAATAATAATAAATCCATTTTTTTATAAGCTAAAGTTAAGTGTCAAAAGAATGCCAACTGCAAGACAAATTATTGAGTAAAATAGAATATTTTTCAATATCAAGGAGTTTGTGGCATTTACTGTAATAATTTAAATTATGTAGTTTACTCTCAGATTACATAATTTTTTAAAAATAATCCTTTTTTTTTTTTTTTTTTTTTAAATAAAAGATGATGTGGAGATACAGATAATGAGATACATCCTCCACAATTCATGGCGGCACCGCTTTTCATATTTAGAAAGTCAAATATTTTATCTTGAATATGTTTTCTTTTTGGTTAAAACCCCTTTTTAGTCCCTGAACTATTGTACGGACCCTCGATTTGATCCCTGAACTAAAAAATCCCTGATTTGATCCCTACTATTTATCATTTTTACCCCGATTTGGTCCTTCCGTTAAAATTTCACCATTATCTCACAACAATTTAATGACATGTCAAACATTTGTAACACGTCAGTTGTATAAATGAATAAATAATGACATGGCAACGTGACATGTCATTTTCTTCCCCAACCCAACAAAAGTGGGGCCCATCAAAATTACGAATTTGCCATCATCTTCTTCCTCCAGCAAACAAACCCAGCACCTGAATTGAATCGAACCCAACAGCTCCCTTTTTTTTTTCTTCCTCTTCCTTGCCTTGCTTTCTTCATCATCATCAAACAACCAAAACCATAGAAAAAATATACCTTGCTTTCTTCATCATCATCAAACAACCAAAACCACAGAAAAAATATATTTTCTTCATCATCATCGAACCCAGGCGTGGGTTCGAGGGAACCCAGCGCCTGGGTTCCTTGGAACCCAACCCAGGCAAGTGTGCTGGGTTCGGTTCCTTGTGAACCCAGCGCCTGGGTGGGTTCGAAGGAACCCAGGCTTGCTAGGTTCCGAGGGGAAAGAGAAGGGAAAGGGGAAGGAGAAAGAGAAAGGGAAAGGAGAAGGAGAAAGAAAAAAGAAAAAAA